TAATCAGTAAGTTTTTGATAAAACTATTTTCACTTTCGGAAATAAAGCATAGAATCTGCATAACACTGAGTATCCTACAATCCTATGCGTTGAATATATTAACGGGAACCGCGCGCATATATTGTTCATTCAATCTCTCGACACCAGTTCTTCTCGGTCATGATGATCAACACAGGAAGACCAAGAAGAGAAAAAAGTCATTTTCCGTTGGAGTAGCCTGCGAAGGAGGCTACAGGTCGACCGCTTTCCACTATCGCGAACAACTAATAGTTACTACGTCTTTGATTGTGTTTCACGGTACAAGTGCGTTTACTCTAGTTCCTTTCAACCATTTTTAAAGTTTTACGTTGAAAAAGCTGATAAAATTAAGAACTTGAAACTGAGCGGGAATGGTAAATAGTGGAATTTTCTTTGGGTCTGGCCAGCCAGTTCTAATGAATACTGGGACCTTTTCTGGAATACAAAATCATAGTGCATTGTGGTCTAGCTTCAGCACAAACAAATGCCATATTTGAATTTGACAGCATGAACCTAGACCACAATGCAATGCAAACTGCTATCTCAGAAAAGGCCTATGGAAAGGGGCCGTCAGTATCGGAGGAGTGACGGTAGATGTCGTCGATGCGACTGGAAGTTTGAAACACTAGTTTTCGATTAATTTATTGGTGTATTTTAATTTCTTTATTTTTATTTTTTTTATAAAAGTGTAAGTGTAAAMGTGTATAATTCATCTTCGGAAAAGATGGCGAATGTCAATTGTCAAATGGCGATTCCACGGCTGAAAGGAGTCATGGGTTTTGCCAATTTGATTTATACTGTGAGATAATCTGTGGTGAAATGATTGGCATCAGTTTTCAATAAGCACAGTAACCCYATTAAGTGAAATTTTGTTAGTTTAATAGCGGGAAACCATTGCCCCATGGTCATGCAATCGCCGTTCGGTGATGTCCYCGAGAACGTTGTTTGAAATAATTATATATTCTGGCCAAGTGTATCACTAATGCTAATAATACCCACAATTGCGTGTGCATGTTCAAGCGTAGACCTTTTTGTATAAAATGCATTCTTAGGCTTAAAATATAAGATGAATTAGCCTCCTCCGCAGACATCGCTATAGGAGTCACGGGCTTTTTTTTCTCTCTTTTTGGGGAGTCAAAAGAGCATGGTGGCGAGAGAGGGAAGATGACCGTTACAAAAGGAAGCCCAAAAGGGGGGGGGGGAAAGAGTTGCCTGTGGATGAGGCTAAAGATGAATAATATTCCAATGAAATTCATCTAAACTTGATATTTGATTAATAAGACGGTTAGTTGTGATGTGATATTTCGATTTACTAGTAAATCCTCTCCCGGATCATTCTCAAAGTAAATCTATACCAAAATGCACCATGATTTCGAAAATGATTTTCGAAAATGATCGCTATACACAGAAATTTTTATAACGTGTTTGAAACACAGCTTTTGAAAAACCTGCACTTATTAAAAATAAAGTGTGTTGCCACAGTTRCAGCACATTTCTATATGCGAGTCATGCAGCTAGAATTATAGCTAATTTATTGTGTTTGAAACACTGAGTTAAAAATAAAATTTAATAATATGCGACGACTGTGCTACTTTGATAAACACTGTGCTCTATGTATACTRAAAATGTTGAAAAGAAGTTTAGACCTGTGCAGGACAAATCTCTTTTTGCAGCCTATCCTTTTGTCGGGCTTCCTGTCCCAAAAGAGGGACAGTTAACTCAATAAAAGGAGACTTGTGACTAGTGCAAGTTCTGTCATCAAGAGAAACGACAGGTAATTCTACCTCACCATTACGTCATCAGGAGATCACGTGAGATTGCACAACTTGCTAGCTCAGCTCCCTCTGACWTCATGGTTCGGTAGAATTACCATCAAACTTCACCTTACAGGTAAGTCTCGTTTAATTTATAAAATATACGTTAGTCCTTTACACAAAGTTACCAGGTGAACCTGCTGGGTGAGTGTTTTCCTTGTAAGGGAATTCTGCGCGTGTGATCAGGAATTTGAAGAGTGATGCCCATGTTTAATGACTGGAAGAATTTGACAACATTCTTTTGTCATGAGCGAAGTCGATGGTTTTGGCTCGCATTTTGTTTAAAACAATTTCTTCTGCGGTCGCAACAATGTCTTCTGGTGATTCCATCGTATGATTTGGATATCCACTAAACTCGATCTGTTTTTCCGAATCTGGTAGTTTTCGGCAGCAACAACTAATACATCATAAAAAGAAGTGTTAAGTTCCTTGTAACGGGTTCAGAACGTTACAAAAGRTAACTTAAGTAAATGATTTAAAGCTGCAGAAATGAAATTAGTTTCGTTTAGGTGAAAGCTATTTTAGCCGTCACAATGAGTTCCATTCCGATTTTATTCCTTCTTTTACTTGTTGTTATTTATTTTATTTTATGAGCTCTAAAAAGGTGATTGGTTAGCCACCCTAGTAGTTACACTCTGGATCTGTCCTTCATACACGGAACTCGTTCCTGGGGCCATTGAGCTCGCACTTTTTAAAAAGTGACACGTGACACCCGGCTTGGTGTTTTTAAGAATAATACAAAGATCAGAGTCCATGTCTGAACGGACGATGCCCCGGGACATTTCTCCTGGAAAAAAGGCCCTGGGAACGAGGTTGAAGTAGGTCCGTSCCGCCGTCTTAATATTTTGGACATACTTACACAATAATGATTAGCAATATGACGATCACCACAACTCCTCCAACCGTTGCACCAATGATAATATACAAATTCATTCCATCATCTTTTTCTTCTTGATTGTCGGTTGGTCTACTTGACTCTGGTTTATGTGCTGTTAGTGTTAGCACKTTAACCTGAAGTGCTTTCTCGATATYTYCCCGTGTSTCATTCAATGCTTTAAGGAGGTTCTCTTGGTTGATTGTGTTGTTTGAATTGAGGACCACGCCTGGTGGAAAGTTCACATACAATGCGATGCGAGCAACGAGGGACGATGCCTTGTGTTGTTCTGAGATTATTTGTAGAGGGTATCCTGGAAGCAGATGGACTTGATCTGCTTGGTAGTCAACAAAAACTAGAGCACGTCTGAAACAAAAGGTTGAATCTCTATGACTTCAATATCTCCATGGTGAAGTGCATATATACAAATAAACAACTTTTAATCCACGATAAGACAATAATTCAAGAAATTTTCCAACCATTGGATCATCTTCTTGGATAGGAAGCTGAATTCGTTACAGATTTTTTTTTTGTCTTTCACGAATATCTCATCTGATGTGCGCGCCTGAAATATTCTTTGTTTGAACGTCACTACAAATCGTTWATAATCATACTAACTTGACTCGGTTTGTTCCTGGGACACAGCCTTTAGTTCGTGCACAGAAATTTGTCACCCCCTTAGCAACGACTTCTTTGAACTTTTCCTCCTTCGGTTCTGTCCACTGCAAAGAAAACCAAAAGTATATTATAACTTATTTCGAGTGGAACTGTAGGCACAGTCACAAATAATTCACCACCGGCAGATGGTCTTCTTTGTATGAGGGCATAGAGGGTCTGAGAACATTTTTAAAACCCTCAAATGCAGAGAGGGGATAAGGGGGCTTTCCATTTCTTAGAAGTAACCGGCCAGAAGCAAAGGGAATTTCATTGCTAATCATTCATGATCAGAATCAGAAAATATCAATTGAATTTTATGCTTTATTCAAATGGAAAACCTACTAAAAATCCTTGACAAATCACTTATATATCTCTAAATTTTACAGCGGTCTGGCCGGCCAGTTCTGTCTAAATGAAAAGTGCCCGAAGTCTCCTTTTACGCTCTCAGAGAAGAGACTGTGAGAGTAGGTTGGATTCCCCACATTCGACGTCATTACGCAACCAGRCCGGGTATCAAGCCTGTGACTGTAAACCATCATGTCAATCCGCTGGCAAATACACTGGATGATAGCCGTTAATAACAAGAGGATGCGTAATGGGTGTAGTAAATGTACATGTTACCTGAGATGCATTCAAGTTTGTCATGGTTATGTTGACTGAGTTGGCGACCTCGTATGCTGATGGCTGCTTTGGTGCTGGTGCTGTTGGTGGTGGTGGCGTTGTCGCCCCTGGCCTGAGAGCTAGAAAATCACATTTAATACTTACAACGTTTTCACATTAAGAAGGGGTTTCGGAAAGTTGCACTGCTAACAGGGCAGGAAAGTAATGATGGGGTGGCCATATTAAATGTAGGGCTTTTAGGAAGAGTTAATATTGCAATTGATGGAATAGTAGTAATGACTGATCACGATGCAGAAAGCTTGGAAAGATGGAAACTAAGTAACTCCAGTTGGATGGGGTTAAAATTACTCCTTGGTATTACTCTCATTCTGAAGTAGATTTTACCCTAGCTAAGGTTACTCCACTAAGTAACTCCAGTTGGATGGGGTTRAAATTACTCCTTGTTACAGTTACCATTACTCTTAAATGTAGAGTAGAATTTTCTCTCATTAACTCCAGTTGGTGTTAAAATTACAGTATGCATCCTATTAGTTACCTGTACACTTGTCATTGATCAAAATTAGCCCTTCTTCACAAACGCATTTGTACGATCCTTGAGTATTCAAACAGGTTTGTGACGAATCGGTGCAGTTAAAAGTAAATTCCAGGCATTCATTGATATCTGAGATATAGAGAATAAATAAATTACAGCCTCAGCAACCGCTCACTGACTCAAAAGGAAGCAACATCGTTCCCAGGACCTTGTCTCTCTGTATAAGGGTCTGGGAACGAGGTTTTAAACAAAGTATCAACCTACAACAAGGCGTTCCTGAACTTGCATTATTGTATAGCTACATAGATCAGAGAATATTATACTCCATCAATATAACATGATATGTATGTTGCATTATAGGAAATGAAGTCATTTTCTTCTTCTTCTTCTTCTTCTTCTTCTTCTTATTTAAATATTAAATAAAACGTATCAGACATACCGACGCAAGTAAAGTTGTCAGCTGAGAGTTTAAAGCCAGGGACGCATGAACAAGTGTAAGATCCTATGGTGTTATGGCACTTTTGATTACAGCGATATTCGTTGATAGAACATTCATTGATATCTGATAGGAAAATAACAACACTGTCAATATTTCACTAATATATTACTACCATTTATCAAAACATTCAAAGTCTGTTATGCACCGGACCCGAAAATATGATAAACACRCGCACATTCATGACGTAATTAACCAAATATGATAACGTCCTACCGTTGCACGCTTTGCCATCGTCATTCAGTTTATACCCTTTGTTGCACGAGCATTTCTGCTGGTCGTCTGCATTGACGTAACAAACGTGCTGGCAGCCATGATTGGAGTCTTTGCAGGGTGTCTTAGCTGTTGAAACGAAGATAAATGCAAACGAAGATAATAMTCTCGGCGATAATAAATAAATGTATGGATCGCCCGAAAAAAAATTGGGCTTCAACGGGAATCTAACCCAGGATTTCTGCGATGACGGTGCAGTGCTCTAACAACTGAACTATGAAGCCAACTATGTTGGCGAGCGGTCATTTTATTGGGTGAGGCYATCAAGGATCATATGTCTTCTCTGTAAATTTGGTTAATACTTACGAATGCACAGTTTACTGTTTTGTGGATCTGTCTTGAAATTTTCGTTGCATGAGCAACTGWAGCTTCCAACGTTGTTTGTACATTTATGCATACAACCACCCTTGTCTCGCWMGCACTCGTTTACGTCTAAATAAGAAAAYAATTATTTATGATTCAATAACAAATTTTTCTCCGCTCTCATTGCTGGAGCCGATTCGAACAYGTGACGCGTTAGTTCACGTCGGATGGGTCTTATAAAAATTTGYTTAATATAGTAAGACAATAGATTAATTGAAATCTCTTGAATTTTGTAATAGTTCCCTTGGAAACTGGATGTTCCTCAAACCTTTAAGTTCATACTAGCTCTCGAAATTTGCAAAACTGTGTATCTGTTCGGGACTTATTTAAATGATGGTCTTACCGTCGCATGATTTTCTGTTTATATTAAGAGCATAACCAGTGTTACAGCTACAAACAAACGAGCCTGGAGTATTCCCACATTTTTGATCACAGCCATGTACTTGTTTTCCCTGTGCGCATTCATCGATATCTGACATATAGAAATAACGATGTGTTATGATCAAAACTGCAAAACATTCAATATCAAAATCTGTATGATATGTATTTCCTACTCAGCTGAATGTTCGCTAGCAAAATAACGGTGACAGCTTCTAAATCATTCAATAACAGCCTTGCCCAAGTTTGAGTTCATCCTATTCATCCTTCATAAAAACGGCCTTAGTTTGATATATATCTACCTATACAGTCTGCACCCGTCCCATTAAACCCTTTCGGGCATGGACCACACTCGTATCCATTGGTGATGTTGGCTGGCGCGGGCAAATCATTGCAAGTTACACCAGGGTAACACGGGTTGATATTAGCAGTACAAGCATCAATATCGCTTTCACAATATCGTCCAGTGTATCCAGGACTGCATTTGCATAACATTTGAATGAAAGTGTCATTGGAGCTTGCGACTGTGTCGTTTAATATGGTCGGTTTTTCACATTTGCTATCATGATGACATGCGCATAGATATATGGTTGGTTTAACTGATGAAACAGCGTTGTTAGAATCTGTGACGATGTACTGAATATCGAGCTGAAAAACATTGAAATGTTCGTTTTTGAAATTAAGTGTWGATTGAGAAGTTTCACCCAGGAATAGTCTCCTCGACAGTTCCCTGCGCCATCTTAATTGAAGGGTAGCCGTGCCTTTTCATTGAATCGAGTCAACAGTTGAGCGTGTAATGATAGACATCTGTGAAAAATGTCTGTAGGTGTGAAAAAAGGTTTCTATCATTGCACGCTCAAAGCTACCTTTAAAGATGGCGCAGGGTGCCGTGAAGGAGACTATTTAATTAATAGTTCCACATTTTTAGGTCGCTGGATGTCGGACATTTCTTGTTCTGAGGCTTTAGTTGACCAAAATATTTTTAGTATGCTTATATATAAATAGARTAAATTGAAGAAAAAGGTACGCAACTTGCAACTTGTTTTTCTACTCTTTAATGGACATTTCGGGCATTCACCCTTCTTATATATATATACCTTGTTTTGCGTTACATTCCAAGACATCGAGATGGACTTCGCACTGGTCGAATATTTAGCGTTGTCWGGGAGACCAGTTACATTAAAGGTTAGGTCATCACCGTCAGGGTCACTGGCATTCACAACAACTGTGATCGTTGTATTAATAGTTAGGAACAAAACTAATGAGCTGTTGTCTATTCTGGGTGGTTCGTTACCTTGAAGACAAGAGATGGAGTTATTACATATGATGTCGAGCACCAATAATCAGGGAGAGAGAGAGAGAGTAAATTAAGTAACCGAAGATGGAGCTCGAAGCAGTGAATGAACAGTAGCCAAATCCACCATCCTTACTGGAAACATGAATGGCTCAGCTTTCTTTCTTTCTTTCTCCCTTTATTTTTGTTTACTGAGGGAATAAAACACGTATGGAACAGGAGAAAAATACTTGGAACAAAACAAGAAAAAAAAAACAACAAACAAAAAAACAAACAAAAAAGAGGAAGTATTAAGAATGAAAGACAGACAACGAAGAAGGGAATCAAGGGAAATCAAGGGAATCGAACAGCAGTGATTGGCGGCGTTGTTGTATTTACTTACTCATTATCTTAGWGTCGTTGACAAGTTGCGTGTTCACCTGCTTCGTGTTTTTACCCACTTCAATATCTCTGGTGGATGCCACATCAAACATGCAACTTATGTCGCCCTGGCAAAGCTCCTCAGCCTGCTTCCTTAGTGAATCATTTGCAAACGTTAATTCGTCTACGAACATTGGCTTGAAGGAAGCATTCATGAACGATTGAACACTCTCTCCTGGTTCATACTTGAACAGAGATGTTTCGTTGGTTACTTGCCCTGGAAATAATTTTTATTATTTTAATTTTAAAATGATTAATTAAGTTTTTGGTTATTAAAGCACCAAATAAATGATTTTAGTATCTACCCAACTATGGACTAAATATACTAATATTGCTTCTGGGCTATGGTATAATCGTGTTGGTATCGCAGAGTGCCTATGMAATCTGGAAAACAGTAAAAAGCTTTAGGCCTTATATGGTATTCAAGTCAAAMAAAGGATAAACAATAACTAACAAAACACTGATAATAGTATTGGGCTTTTAAAGGGATTGGGAGATTCAACACGTTCGCCATTCCAAAAATAGCAATATAATAGTCTTACTAATAGAAACACTACATGACTGCCGCATCAACGAGTGTATTTCACGGCTTTACAACGCTAACAATATCATATGCTAAATCAGTAAATACAAAAACTTACAAGCTAATCCAAATTTATAGTGGACGTCTCTTCCGGAGCTAGACCCAGGAAGCACCGTCCCATTAGGCAATGTAAAGTCGTCTTCACCATCACCATTCCAAGTTCCCAGAAGACCTTTCGTGTGATTTTTAAACGAATCCGGAGCAGCAGCGACAATAGAAAGCTGTTTAAGTTTTTCGCAGATTCTGACTGACATTCCAGATGGAAAAGCCATTTCGAAACAGYTTGGTTCGGGCTTTAATACAGTCACTGATCCGTTAAGTCGTTTTGAGGAATTAGTCAGACCACTGATGTTAAATGGTTGACCGTCTATGCGAACTTCCATTGTATCTTAAAAGGATGGATCAATGCAGTCAGTATTATTAATGTATAAAAGATACATAGCTATTGACCAGATGGTTCATTGAACAGAACAATCACTCATCGCAAATTGCACTATTGCATAATGACGTCGCCGCATCAGTTTACATTGGGGACACATGCTTAGAAACAGTGAAAATTGTCACCCATTTATATTCTTTCCGAAAATACATCTCTTCAATGTATCGAGTTTTGGTAAATATCAAGCGTTATATTACTGATTGCTCATCTACATTTAATTRATATTCAGTCACTCTAACTTCTTCAGGCGACCATAATCCATAGCGTTAAAACGGTGTGACGTAATTATGCAATACAACACTTGAAGCAACTGCAATGTTTTCAACGCAATATTGCGCACGAAAACGATTGCGAATGTTAAACAGGTTTCATACACATAAAACCCAGGATTACGGAGATGCTCCTGGAGTGCCGCCGAAAACAGAAACCGGTAGAWACTGAGGCCATGATTAAAATTAATTCGGATGCACTATGCCTGCTGGGGCACATGAGCTTCGAGATTTCGCAACGGCGACGTGACACCATCAAGCCGAATCTTAACAAAGATTATGCTTCACTAGCCTCCTCCGCAGGCATCACTGAGAATCACGGCTTCCTGTCTTTTTGAGGAGTCAAAAGAGGGAGAATGGGGGCGAGAAAAGGGGAGCGTGTTGCTATCTCGTCACTAGTCCCTAACGGCCAAAATGACCGTTACAAAGGAAGCCCAAAGGAGGAAAAAGAGTTGCCTGTGGAGGAGGCTAATGCTTCACTATGTGCATCACAAATTCCCGCCACCAAATGGATGTTCGGGGACGAGCTGCAAACGCATATCAATCGGTATTATATTGACATTAGCTGAGAAGCTTATCCCTTTAGGAGTTATAATTTACTTATTCGGGTCCCATTTTTCAAGATGGTGGACGCATTGTTCTCAGAAAGAACTGATGCATGTATACAGCTATTTCAGAAGATAGTGTATTACAAGACTACCGCAATGCATTGTGCGCGTTCTAACGCTGCTMAAAAGGAGTTTTCACTGTTTAACCCTATTCAGACTGGGCTTTTTTTCAATCTTTGACTTGGGGGGAGGGGGGGGGGGAGGTCTCATTCGGCCCCCCTCAATATCTTCGGAACCAATAAGTCTATTTTCACAAAATGGTCGCCCACGTAAAATGAACCACCGCACCCAGTCTTGACCCGTGGGAACCAAWTGTGACGTCATAATGACGTCATTTACACATTTTAACGATTTAAAATTCATTTTAATAAATCGCCTACAATTCCACAGAGAATGCTGCAATATCATGTGAAAACTACCCACCTCTCCCCCAAAACTTTTTGTTGTTGAAAAAGTATTATGGTATTGTAGAGTCAGCAATGGGAGCAAGCTCAAATAGGTAAAAGATGCATAATAAAACAAGAATTAAGCTTTAAAAATGAAAAATTTAAAGCTATGTGTCAAAAACTGGTTTCCATGGCGACATGGATGACGTTATCAACAAAAAAATTACATGAAAACCTTCCCAGATAAAGTTTAGGAAAAGTCCTAAAGTTTCAGAGATGTAGCTGTCTTGGTTCTAAAGTTATTGGCTTTTTTACGCTAGGGGGAGCTCAAACACCCCCCCCCCCCCCCCCCCCCCCCCAGTCTGAATATGGTTAACAGTAAATGTACGAGTTCCATATAGTCAAAGACTTCAACTGAAATTCAATTAAAAGTTTAAAATTGTCATTTAACACCTAGTGGAATTCACTATGCAGAATACAGTATTCCAAGTTTTCTGAAACATCTGTATATCTGTCTTTTGGTTACGTATATGATTATGCCGAGTAGTTCCGAACTTACAGAGGATGCCGACCTACCATTATCAYTCAAGGTGACCTGCACTGTACTTGTATTTGTTTCCTTGGCAACAGCCCCAGAGAATACAGTAGCCGTCCCTTCACCTTTGGCAGGCTTTGTCCTCGCTTGTAGCTGGAAATGTCCGTCTTTGGCATCAAGCATGACATACTCACCAAGACCATTGAATGTATAGTTTTTGTTATCAAGGGTAACGAARTGAGGGTCTCCCCAAAACCAACCTACAATGTCAAACCAAAACATGAAACTATTTCAAAAGGGCTGTATGCATTTTCATCCTTTTATCGAATTGAAATTACTGTGGCTATGATGAGCTCGGACAGACTCCCTTTTCAAATAAAATCCTCAGTAGATCGAGAATAGAATTTCAGTTTTTAAGGTAAAGGGTTGATTTGACTTACTCCATCTTGGAGGGACGTACCACCAACACGAGTCTGATGGTCGGCGTTGCTGGTATAAATAGCACAAATTGCTAGAGACACAGCATTGTTGGTATGGCTTGACGTCATGTTCTTGATTTAAAGCAGGCCACCAGTCTCTGTGATATCTGTGACACATCAATAAACAATCAGAATTCATACACTCTAATTCCTCTATATAACTCGATTTCCGACATGCGCTGACGCTTATGAAGACAAGGTATTTTACGAATTTCCCTTGATACTTCTCACAAATCCGYGCGAATCAAACTGAGGTGGTTAACAGAAAAGAAACAGCTTTTTGAAAAGTAAAAAGAACAATCCACGAGRCTGTCACGTGATACATGCCTAACATTGAAACGAGGCCGCTTCACACAACGTTCGTTGAAACAACATTTGCCTTTTTCATAGTTTATGCAGCAAAAAATAAAAAGTAAACTCGATCACATTAATGTCACAAAAAGGGATTTCCGTAGAATTATTGCTCAATTTTTTTCTCTGTCAAAGACGCTGTTTTGCTTTCAAAACAGAAAGAATCCAAGGAAATTCGTAGATTCTCCGCGCTGCAATAAAGCCTCAGACCACTGTTAGTGAATTRAAATTAGTGCAATACTCTAGTTTCGAGATCTTATTTGCTTTGTCTTAGAATCTAAAGTGTGTAAAATATTCTTTTGTTCTATCAAAACCTATCGTAAAAAACTGATTYTCTTTAGTCTTAGCAAATGCGGTAATTGTTTAACCAGGCGTAAAATTTAGCAACCTACCTGTGAGCGTTACCGCCATCAGGGTACCCTACAGCCAAAAAGGATCTCCACCACCARCTCCACCACCAACTGCGCCATRTGAAGAACTTGTAGCAACACTCCTGACCCCAGCCGTATYGTGTGGGAAAAGAAGAGTAGAAACAAACACGCGGCMATTCCCATTTGTAGAGAAAGAAACGCCGATCTCTTAATGCTTGCCAATAAGTGCAGGGRCAAGGCGGCAAGACACGWGTCACGTACCAGTAGACATCTGATTGGCTGTAGTACCAGTCDATGCATTCCATTCTGGGAGTTTTACCTCGTGATTCATCTAAACGCATAAAGATCCTCCCGCGAATGCCATTAGAACTTACTTCAAAATACTGAGTGTTTTTTCGTTTGAAGACATTGATTCCTTCTAAGCTGTCGATTTGTACAACAGTGGGGCTCCCAGATCTGTAAAGAAAACATAAATACTATAAAGGCTYGTGTTCTTTACTGAAATGGAAAGTTTTTTCCTCATAGTCGCCGTTTGCTGGGGTCCGCTAAATGTTCAGAGATTTAGAAAAAATATTCAGCGTGTAACAATCTATGTACCAATTTAAAAGCTTAGGAAACGAAGAATACGGCTTTGGAATTTGTTGAACTAGGGGAAATTTATTTAGATATTTGAAAAAAAAGCAAAAACAAACAAAACAAAACCCGTTCTACCCTTTTAGCAGAGTCTTACCGTGGATGGTTGTAATAGTGACCCTTGAAGTCTCCAGCATTAAACCCAACCACCGGATTTCCACTTGCTTTTAAGAAATCCTCATAATTAAAACTGTTACAATTTAAAATAAAATACAATCAGTTGTATCACGCGTACCTATTCCTTCTATAATTTTAGTGCTTACATAAGCTCAGGGGATAGGTATTCCTGTATTTATGGGATTCCTGTGTGTCACAGTTTCACACGAACAAGATTGTTTGTCACAATTTCTTCCCAAATTAAACAACTTAACAGAATTCAATCGTRGGAATTTTAAGTATGAACACTATGAAAGGGAAATCTCTTTTGGAAWTTTTTTTTGAGAAGATAAGCGACGTATTTTACTAAAATAGAGGAGTCTAAGAGATACAATTGTTCTGTCGCTTCGAAGTATATACCGTTCATGACATGACAGTTGGGCTAACTTAAGATATGAGGCTTCGTTTTCAGTAAAATGACAAGATGTCACTTTTATTATATTTTTCTCCTTTTGAGTAGCGCATTATATTTCATGAAAGAAATTGAAAGAAAAAGGAGAACGTCTGTTAGGAAAAGCTTGATTTTGTCCTTAGCAATGTCCCAATTTGTGACCTTTTGCGCAGTGACGAATTCACATTTAGATTATTTATGACCCATACGTTCGAAAATAATACTATAAATGAATTATAAAGGGGATTGAAACGTGAAACCATGRTCACAGCTGAGAGCCCAATCTCTAAAATCGAGCAATCTACAGGGTACAGKGGAGAGACCTGCGTCATAACAGCTACGAGAGGACACTATCTAGAGGGCTATGTATGAGGGATTATAAGTTTTACATTCTTGAATTGTTTATTACAATTTTGTTAATCTCTGGTAGGGATTTGATTTGTTATGCACAAATCTATACTCTAGAGATCCATGCTTCCAAATATTCGATTTGTCGCACTGAAACGTTTTTCTCGACAAAATATGATATTCAATTAAGTCTTATACAAAAGCCAAATAATTTAAACATATTGAAGAAATGTTCTCTAAATACAGAAAAAATAAGAATATTTATTTTTGATTTGCAGTTGTTGCATTGGAAAAAGCATTTTCAGCTCTCAATTATTACTATGATTGATAATTTGACCTCTTTAACAAAGAACAGCATAGCAAAAACAATATAAAAAGTCTGGATCAATTCCTTAGTTGACGTCACTTCATTTGCATTTTCAAGTATCTATAACTCAGAAAATGCAATTCAAAATCTATTTCTTTYTTCCCAGAAGTGCTGGGCAGAGAGTTACCTTTCAGAATAAAAGTGATGTTCTAAAAGGTGTCAGGTGCACGTAAGTATTTCAATCGATGTGTTCAATTACCTTCGGTCGACTGGCACAGACCACTGAATTTTGTTGTTAGGGTAATTATACATGGCAAAGGAGTACACTCCATCGGTAATTAGAACAGCTTGGAATGTATTTTCCTACCAGAATGGTAAAAACAAGATAAAATAGTGATATTGTTATTGATAAAATAAACCTAGAATTATAAATGAAACTGAACGGGATTGTGGGTTGGCATGCAAATTTGAATTATTTAAGTCTAGATATCACTAACATTTCTCGTAGATTGAAGTAATTAGTTTTTAGCCCAGGTAGTGTTCAGGAGCTGAAACTGACTGGTATTACATAACAATTTAAAATACTTAATTTGCCTTCAGCTGCTTCTTCCATGGGTCTTGCTTTGAAGACTTTGCCTTTTTGAACCCGGCATTGCCGAGGTCAAGTAAGTGTACACGAATTTAAGGATGACATGTCGCATTTAATGTGTACAAGGGGCACATCATGACTCTCTGAGAAATGCATGAAATGGATCCTTCGTCGGTGAGTTACGAAGTGGTAGCTCCGTGCTGACGATTGCGTCATCTCTAATGATGTGAAAGCCTATGAGCAAAATTTAAATCAAATCTAGCACTTACCAGATCCCTGAGGTTTTCCTGCCATTCTGAGTACCAGTGACGTAACCTAACCCACGTGATAACTATGACCCATGATGCCTCTCCAAACTCAGTCGGAAGAGCATGTTCTTTACAGTGCTTTTTGACATCATCTGTTGCTCTGCTAAGGATGCTTGTCTTTCCAYTACCTTTTTGGTAGATCTGGTAGTATAACTTCGAAATCCCGTCTCGGAATGCTTTCTTGCTTATCAGAGACCAGTATGGGGCCAACAATGGTTTGTCACTAAAGTAGTATTGTCCAAACTTGGAGGGCCACCATCGGTACCAGGGCTGCTCAAATGATATCAGACCATTGCGACAAGCCTGCAACCAAATCAATATTAATGATTATTAATATTAATATCATGGTCCTATTCCTTTGGCTCTACGATCACGTATAGTTTATAAGTTTACTTGTGGGAGTTGTAATACTCGTTATATTGGTGAAACCATTCGCCATTTTTCTAAACGTATCAATGAGCATGCATCTTTATAAAGATAAATCCTCTCATGTTTTTAAGCATTTAGCTTCTTCTTCTACTTGTAAAAAGTCTGCATCTCCAGATTGTTTTGAAATTTTAGACACTGCAATTAATGGTTATGAGCTAAAAATAAAAGAAGCTCTTTTTATCAATCATTTAAACCTGAACTTAATACTCAGGTCAAACACTATAATACCACTATCCACTTGTAATCTCATCTCTTGTTTTAGTTTACTTTTGACCGTTGTAATTTAATCATATTATCTATTACTACTATATAACTGATTGTAAAATGTACTCAAATTCAAACTGAAGATGGCTTTATGAAAATCGAAACATGTCTTTGAAATTTAAAAGTGTTGCGTTATTTTTAAAAATTATCATCTAGCGCAAGTGACTAAATCAGAGCAGTGTCTCTAGAATGCGATGAAAGAGGAAACCGTGCACCATAGAGCAGTTCGATCGATGAATACTGGGACAGGGGATTTTTTTCCGACTTCAAAATCATCTAATGAGGATCATTTTTGTACAATCATTCGGACTAGGATGTTGCCATAGCAAAAATGACTGTAGATTATAAGAAGTTGAGTTGTTAAGCTCCAGAATTTCACCTCGGCTGCAGACTATGTTTTTTAATGAAGTATTACAAGAGAATGCGTGGTTGACTAGCAGTGCAGTTGTTTTTAATGACCTGGTTTCATTCCTGGTCTGGGAAAACATGTGACTTGAATGTATAAACTGTTTTTCGGCCTTTCTTCGCGGTTAATTTGCTCCAGTTATTCTGGTTTCCTCCCTCAATGAAAATTAAAAACTAGCTGTAGAGAGTGTCGTTACATACTCAAACATTYGTGTACAATCAATGTTGAGGTAGTGGAGTGAATTCATTTATATAGGTCAACAACTTTATTTGTCTAGAGACTATTCTGTGCTACTGTATTATAGAGTATTATACTGACAGCGCGCAAGTAAATTATAAGCAGAGTAAAGAGATATTCCTTCCTACTCTCATGTCACTCGACATTGTCTTATCATCACCTACAACAATAATAATGATTCCATCATGCATGTCTCAATGTAAGGTTTACTTACATACAACGTGTAGTGTCTTTTCCCGTAAAAAGGAAAACCTTTGATACCAAGGTAAATAGATCCAAAGCACCTTGAGTAAGTGTAGTATCTTGTATCTTCGTTATCTTCTGCATCGGGACCATGGGGATACATCGTTTCATCAGGKGCTGGGGTTGTTGGTGCTATAAAAAAACACCATATATTAGTTTAGACCTAAGAGATGTAATGACTTTATTGAGTGTTTTCTTCAAGTCAGTTCCGAAAGAAAGCAATTTTTAATTTATGAACGCCAAGAATTGTCAAAAAAAAAAACTAATTCTTCAACGTGTTTTTATGATGGAGCCATTTAAAAAAATACAAATCGGTYATAAACATGTTCGACTCATAACATTGTCTTCTTTCAAGCAAATAATYTTACACATACACATAGTGACATTACTTTAAAATAGAATGAAATAATGAAATGGAAGTCTAACAGCAGTTCATTCGGAAGGATCTGCAATTTGGGCACATAGCTTTCCATGTCCTCACCCTATTTCTAAACTGATTCCAGTTTAGAAAAGAACATGTTTATAAATTCTTTTTCGAGAACTGGAAGGGAAGGCGATAGTTTGACATTAAGAGGTAGAGTGCTCCATAATGGTATAATTCTGTTGAAAAAGAAATCGGTTGAAGGTTGATTGCTGTCGAGGCACTCCTTGTCCTGCAGCGATTTATACTAATGAAGTCATCAGAGAGGTGATATTCACCGGCTAGTGCTTTGTATAAAAAGTAAAGATCTTTCACTTCGAACCAATAGGACACTGGGAGCATGCGGAAGGTGAACAGGCGTGACTTCCAGCGCGGCCGTAATTCATGATTGTTACTGCAGGATAGAATAAAGCGAGTCGCGCGTCGCTGCACCCCCTCGCAAAGCCGAAGGTCCGAGATACATGACTGATGTGCCCAAACCTCACTTGCATAACTTAGCTTAGATCTTACAAAAGCAAAGTACAACAACCTCTTTCGGTCAGTCCCTAACTGAGTGCAATRCCGCCGGCGTAAAAAGCCAAGCGTCTGATTTACATTTGCCACAACGATACTGACATGCAAGCCCCATTTAAGGGTGCCGCTACTGTGACTCCAAGATCTTTCTGTRAAGAGACAACATTGAGTACGTTGCCGCCAAGAGTATAAGGACTGACCGCAAGAGAGGGCGCCGGGCTAATACGCTTTCTAGAAATTCTCAAACTTCGCATTTCTTAATGTTAAACGAAAGACCCCAAGTCAGAGATCAGTTATAGAGTTGGTCTAAGTCCAGCTGCAGAAGGCGGTGTTCAGCTGCGTTGCTGATCGAGCGCGAGCATTTGGCGTCGTCTGCAAAAAGTGCAATGCTTGATCCAGGGCGCACTACATCCGGCAAATCGTTCATTTAAAGAAGGAAGATGAAAGGTCCAAGCAACCTTGTGGCACTCCAGATTCGACGCGAGTCCATGGGGAAAACGCTTCATCGACTAAGACCCTTTGTGACCGAGATAGTAAATAGTCAGAGAACCAACGATGCAGGGAACCAGCGATACCAAATAGCGATAGCTTATGAAGGAGCTTCTTGTGTGGCACAGAATCAAAGGCCTTTGAGAASTCTAAATAGATCACGTCCGTTTCCAAAGCAACGTCCAGGGCAGCTCCAAGTTCATGTAAGACAGACAAGAGTTGAGTCACGCATGATCTGCCGCTCATGAAGCCATGTTGGAGGGAAGAAAGAAGCTCGAGCAGTCCTGGAAATAAATRGTTAAGAACACACTTCTCGCACACTTTGCTGACTATWGACAACAGTGAGATCGACCTGTAATTAGGGATTTCCGATTTGACGCCATTTTTKAAGACAGGTGTTACATTGGCGCGTTTCCAATCAACGCGCAAGGACTTATTGAATAGAAAACACAAAGATATTGCGAACTCTTCAGCACATTCCTTCAAAATTTTAGGATGTAGACTGTCGGGCCCTGGAGCCTTGTTGGGATCTAGGCTTTTGAGCGCTAGGCACACCTCCTCTGAAGTGATCACAATAGACGAGATAGTTTTGTTTGTAAAAGGCCTAGCTAGCTGGAAGATCGTCGGGCAACGATTTATGACAGTTAAAGACAGAGGCAAAGGCCTCCGCTTTGTTGATAGGTGTTGTATAGGTTGACTGCTCGTATTCGATGGAATCTGGAACAGAGGAGCGWTTTGCGAGGCTTTTAAAGTAAGACCAGAAGCGACCAGGGCTAATAAAGCAGCAGTCTGAGATGTCCTGCAAGTAGGCAAGGCGCTTGGCACGAACTAGATATTTAACTTCGCGATGCAGGCGCCGAAATTTGTCCCACAGTACAGAACTGTCCTTCAATAATGCTCTTTTCTTGACGAGTTCTTTTTCCTTATCGCGTGTAAAACTTCGCCATCTATCCATGTAGGAGTAACAAATTTCCAGGCTTTCCGAATAGGAATGGATTGCTTGACACGCGCTAAAAGCGTAGTCTTCCAGTTCGACCAGTTCTCCTCGAGATCGTAATCATGAGAGAGGACATTGTCAATCGGATCCGCAGAGAGAGAGAGGACTTGAGGCCAGCAAAATATGCTCTGTTTAGATTGAAAGACGGTAGTTTGTTTTTGTTGATAGAGCATGGCGAAAAATGCAGATCGAAGGTCACGGCGCAATGATCCGAAGGAACGGCACCACTCCTGCATTTAGTGACGCTTATGTTGCCTTCAACAATAGGTGTTAATAATACGTCCAGGTAATTGTCTCCACGTATCGGCTTGTCAACCAACTGGAACAAGTTCTTGTCCACTAAAGCTTGACAGAAAGAAAACAAAGCAGATTCAGTGGAAGCACAAAAACCCGATCCTTCTATCCAGGAAACCGACGAGAGATTGAAGTCGCCCAGTAAAATGACCCTTAAGTATTTGATGTTGTTGAGAAGATAGATGAAGCTGCGAAACCAGGAGACACGAGAGTCGGGTTGTCTATAGAAAACTGCGAATAGAACATTACCGCAGTTGTTGGTGTTGATTTCAATTGCGGCATACTCCAACTTGTCATTACTTGAGTCCAAATACACTGGATTACAGCGAAGGTTGTTACGAGAAGCAATAAGTATACCTCCGTGTTCTCCGTAGTGAAGATCGCAGCGGTGAATGTCGTAGCCCCATGGAAGGATTTCTGAGTCAGAAATGCCACTGTTCATCCAAGATTCAGTTACAGCAACTAAGTCAAAATCATTTGCATCAACAGCGTCGCGAACGTGTTTAACTTTTTCAGACTGATACTTTGAGTATTCTGATAAAAAGAGTGAAGTGTGTGTGACGTGAGTGTGATGCTGCTGGAATGGCTAAGGTTTGAGACATGCTGAGATCCATAGTGCATGTTAGAAAGGCGAGAAAATTTCCAGATCTTCCGGGCCAGGTTGAGATTCTTCATCGCCACAACATAGGATGCCCTAGCCTCCTTCGTAGGCAACTCTACTCCGTGGGATTCCTGTGTTAAGGCAAAAAAGCTGCCGGAGGGGAGGGGCTTAGGCTCAGTCTCCAGCCGTCGGGATTTCGTGCGCCCGCGATACTCTCTCCCCTGACGGCTGGGCGCATGGGATTCGAAACGTGTCGCGCAWGTCCGTGACGTTTTKGTGTAATTAGCATATTATGACGTAACGGAAGTGAATTTTTCAGTGAACGGAAGTGAAATATCTGACAACAGCCGTAAAGGTTTTGCTACAAGGCGGGAAATTATGTGAAATGAAAACTTCGCGAAGTAGTGATATAATGTAATAGTTAGCGCTTTAAAAAAGAGAAAGGAATGGAAATTACCCCAAGTAAAACATGTGTAGGGTTTAATAATCCAAATGGATGTATCATCTGCCAGAAAAACGAGCAAAATACACTAGTGGCGCTGTTTGAAAAATAAGAGATTTGCCCGATCCAGTAGGAAGAATAACAAGGACATCTTTTCAAAGAACAATCTCTTTAAGAGCCTTTTGCTGTATTTCTCTAAATTCGTTCAAGCTAAATGACTTCAGAGCCTTCAAACAAGCACTTTCAAAGAGAATCTCAAACGACGAATTGTCCGCCATTTTGTTACACTGCTGCCTGCTAATTTATTAATGATATGCCCCTCAAAATATCGAGGGCCACTCGCTGATTGGTCAAGACTGACAATAGCGAACCCCATGCGCCCAGCCGTCAGGGGAGAGAGTATCGCGGGCGCACGAAATCCCGACGGCTGGAGACTGAGCCTAGGAGGGGCTAGGAAGGAAGGAAAACCTCTTATTCGCTGTTCCTAATCTCTCGACACCAGTTCTTCTCGGTCAAGAATATGAACACAGGAAGACCAAGAAGAGAAAAATGTTCGTTTCCGATGGAGTAGCCTACGAAGGAGTCTAAGGATGCCCCTTTGTAGATAAAGTTGTCCCGATGGAAGCCAACATATGGACCTGAAACAAAAATATTGCACCACCCTAAGCCCAAAAACAATGTTACATACAAGAAAAAAAAAATCCTACACACCACCAAGAGAAAAAAWATATATATCCTACCCAAAAGCCACGAAGAAAAAAAAATCTTGCTCACAAGAAATCATCCCCCCCCCCCCCCCTCAAAAGTTAAATGGACCGTCCCTAAGGCGTTTCTAATAGATTGCCTTTTTCTGTCAGTTTTGTTCAGCCCGATAGGAAGTTAGAGCTTTATTAGTTCTGACAAACAAGAAAGACGTCATTAGAACACTTTGAAAGTCTATACTATAAATAGTTCATTTTTAAGRCGCCTTGTTTGACCATTTTTTGTGGCTTTTGTCTCCCAAACATTAAAACAACACATGTATCATTCTTTTGGAAAAACTATTTTTTACCCTTCAAAATGCGATAATAAGTTGCACTGTCAGTATTTAATTGCAAATGCTACTTTGCTGCTGAAAGACGGTTAGCTGCATGCACCGACTACCTTTCCGCTGAAAGACGGATGGCCTGTAGAAGGGTCGAAACAGAAACTTAGTACGCATTATCCTTTTAGATAAAAATAAATAAACTATTTTTTGCACGATTACCTTAAAAAATACGATAATAAGTACTGTCTAAATGCTACTTTGCCGCTCAAAGGCTACACCGACTAGCTTTCCGCTCAAAGACGGATGTCCTTTCGAGGTCAAACTTATACGCATCGTCCATTTTGATGAAAAAWAAACTATATTTTTGCATTAATTACCTTAAAAACACGATAATAAGAACTGTCAAAATGCTTCTTTGCCGCTCAACACGRCTAGAAGCTCCACCGGGATGGCTTGTCGAAGACAAACTTACGCATCATCCTTTATTAATCTTTGAAGAAGTGCGGCTATAAGTAATACTAGGGGATTGCGTGATATTATAGGAAAATTATATTTATTGGATGACGAATGAATTCCACAATGAATTTCACGAGAAAAACGATATCGCACGAGTCGCGAAGCCAATCTGCTTTTCAATCCGCCAACAAAKTTTGGTCGTTTTAATAGAACAGTGATATTGTAACAAAGTCTGCATATCACTTTTCGATTCTCTATGGAAAGAGCTTCTATTCGTATTAATTTAATTGTTATTTGTCAAAAAATGAAAAGAAAATACGACAAAAACAAAATTCAATCGCGCGGGATCCCTGATTTTTCATTGAATTCAGCTTTGAAAGCGTTTGATTTCACGCTGAATCCTTCACTATGTACGTCACATTTTCGTCATCTCGGACCAATCAGCACTCGAGTTTATTATGTGATTTAAGGAATTCATGACATCCAATGTCACATTATCTGAAATCTGATGTCAAGTAGGACGAATGCTAAAAAATAACTTCACACTACCGTTCTCGGAAGATCCATCGAAAATTTGCAACTTTGGAAAGCTCTTCGGTAATATTAATTCTTGATGCTAAGTACCGCTTTCTGCAATTAAACAAACATTGAAGTCATTATGCATATCACGGACACTGTTTACAAGATTTTGTAATATGTAACTAAATACAGTATCTAGTCCTTCAAACTAATGTCGTTTAAATCAACTCAAAATTTCACAAAGCTCTCATTGCCTGCCGTACGTACACTGCTTTCAAGTTAAGGGACCAAATCTATACATAATAGTATGTATGGCGACGTATCATCCAGAGCTAAAAGTACTCTGTTGAGATGATAAAAGAGCGGGAAATCTTTATCTCACGTAAAAACTAAATTTAMCCAACTTAAACCATATTTAAGACCACATACAGACTATAKRTTTATTTAAAAAAGTATTATGAAGACAAATGCATATTTTAGTCGTTACTTACAAAACAATCGCGGCGTCCTCTTCAAATGCTTTGAACACCGCTTTAAAGTCCATATTCGCTCCTCAGCTCTGTTTAATCGTTATGAGTTTCCATATAACTCCAGTCATCTTGTGTACATCAAACGAATGAGTCGAAACGAAGTAAATTACGAAACWAAACTTCAAATCACAGRAGGCTAAAATGCACCRGTGAGCTCGATTAGAAATAACTGAATTTCCCGCCTTTTTGCATAATTGACGTCACGTACTGGTGTAATATATATAAGGTATTAGATAACCCTTAATGCTATGATACCCCATGTAGCAAGAGAAAATGAGGTAAGAGAAGGAATCCCTGGTACCCATCATATCAGCCCTTCGTTCTATTTTTAGAAAAAGAGCTATTTTTAGTTTGTTACCAAGCCCGCGCGACCACTACTCGTTTATCGGAATTTGATATCGGCTATTTTTCATCGCCAAAAACTGAATGTCAAATACTGTTCGAGAAAATTAAAGCTACGAAATTCGCTTTTAAAAAGGAAACTTCTTGAAGAAGAAAAGGAATCTTCTTCAAAACAAAGAAAACTTGAAAGTGTCGAAGAAGAATCAGCTTCTGAAGGTAATGTGACATGAAATTAGTTCGACAATCTGACCTTTGAATTCTCTGACCTCTCGAGCAGTAATATTTAACCTGGAATAGATAATTTATAAAACGCATAATTTACATTTGTAGATTCAACACGAAAGGATGTGACGATCTGACCAATCATGTTCCATTTCTAAAAATAGCTCTTTTTCTAAAAATAGAACGAAGGGCTGATGTGATGGGTTAAGAACGCAGTACCAGGGATTCCTTCTCTTACCTCATTTTCTCTTGCATGTAGGTATATCGTGGAAAGGGAGGATAAATACAACGATATTAACAGTTTAAGGCGAGAAATACGTGAAAAACGGACGGAAGATAAAGCTGGTAGAGAATAATATTTTAATAAAATCAAATATTCTTACACATGTAAAAAATTCATATATCATATTGAATTCATATATCATATTGAATCGGTTGACATCCTACATTGGTCAATGATCAGGTTTCAAATCTGAGACCTTTACTAGGTTCACGGACCATTATATCTGAAAAAGGTCACACTTATTAGTATTCTTTATGTAAAGGACCGTAAAGAATACCTAATAAGAAGTGTTTTATCAGATATAAAGGTCCATGCATGTGACCAAATAGGCTCATTCTATTGGCCTAATAACTCATTAAATATGTAAGAGTTTTTGAAGATAGATTAGGGTTTTTTGTTTGTTATGTAAATATATCGTGATTGTCTTACAACTTGAACACGTTCGTCCGGTGTACCCAGGTAAAAAAGAATTATATATCATATTGTTTGACTTACTAGTTGAACAATTGCGTCCGGTGTATCCTTGCACACATTGGCAAATATAGTTGTTGATCTGATCTATACATGATCCGCCATTTTGACATGGATTATTTGCGCAATCGTCTATATCTACACAGAAGAAATAGTTTATGATTAATTAGGGTTTTTTGTTAGTTACGCAAATATATCGTGATTGACTTACTAGTTGAACAATTGCGTCCGGTGTATCCAAGCACACATTGGCAAGTATAGTCGTTGATCTGATCTGTACATGATCCGCCATTTTGACATGGATTATTTGAGCAATCGTCGATATCTACATAGAGGAAATAGTTTACGATAGATTAGGGTTTTTTGTTTGTTACGTAAATATATCGTGATTGACTTAGTAGTTGAACAATTGCGTCCGGTGTATCCAAGCACACATTGGCAAGTATAGTCGTTGATCTGATCTGTACATGATCCGCCATTTTGACATGGACTGTTGGCGCATGTGATGGCTACGTATAGTGATATTAAATAACGAAAATTTATTTTCTTAATTAATAAATAAAGAAGTCACTAGTAATGGCATTTAAAAAAAATGAATTTGTTTTTGATGTTGTTTGATTTCTCTTATGGCTTTTTTTGTTTATAGAATTTGGGGGATACATCATAATCATCATCATTTTTCCTTGTTATTGGGTTTACTCCTTAAGGGTGTATTTATATGCTCTTATAATATTCATATAATTCATAAGTTACACAGCCATCCAGTAACCGCCATTGTAGTCACATGACTACCCTTGTATTCACCAATACAAACTTAAAGCGCGGGGAGGGCTTGAAGTCAGAACAGGGAAAGGGTGGGGTTGATGAATAATAACAATAGAGAATGAGATCTATTAGTATGTTAGAAAATATACAGAATACTAATAGATCTATTAGTATTCTTAATTTTTATATAGAACTCTAATAGATCTGATAGCCGGCCTGCTATAGAAAAAAATATAAAATGCAAATAGATATCGATCTAGCAAAATGTATAGTCAAACTGGCACGTATTTACAGTTACGATCATTTTTCTTGAGGAGGTTAGATGAATTTTCTGCCTTTACGTTTTGGTAGAAGCCTGTTGAGGCCGGAAACAATCACAACTAGAGATTTAGATAAATATTGTCCGCCACTCTTGTTGGCAATAACTCTTCGACGAACTTTGTTAACCAAGAATATTTAGAGATTTTAACGTAGTTGGAGTCATTTCCATCAGCTTCTTTTGCAAGATTTTGCACATTATCGATATCACAGCCAAACCCAACGTTTGTTACTGAGTGTTAATCTTCTTCTCTTGCTTGTTGTCATTCGTTAAAAGCTCCATTTTATCCACTCGTTCTTGTATTTTGGTTTTCTAAAGTTAGCCATAATTCTCGAGCTTGTTCTGAGTGCACGATGAACGCTAACTGAAGGCAAAAATAATGCAACATACTGTCCGTGGATAAGAAAACAATAACTGCTTCATTACCTAGCTATGGTTACATAACCCCATTGAAGAACAGATTCGATGTAATAATGTCTTTTGTAATACGTTTAACGAGCTGTGTATATTTCTATTATCACTAAGAAACAACAAATTTTAGCTCTTAGCTATTGTTAAGAAATAATAATAATAACTTTAGCTGCTCAATGATGGATATCATAAGTCATATACAATATTCGCGTCCGATCTGTATTGGGAATACAGCATTGTATCTCCGCTCATATTACTTACAAAATATATATTGATCGGCCGCTCATATTACTTACAAAATAAATAAAAAAGTATAAATAAATTGAAGGTATTCCGAGAATTAATGTTTGCACTTTTAATCTTAACATTTTTTTCTTATTCCGTCCAGGTTAGGAGATCGTGATTTAAATGGACCATCTTGTAGAATTCAAACTGCCGGGTACCTAGCAATTTGAGAATCGCTCCCGGGAGTTCTTCAGTATATAAACATGCATTGCTTTCGAGATTATTATTTAGTTTTTCTTTTCCAAAGACAACATCCAGGCAAGTGTTATCGATTTTCTTAGATACCGTGTGGTTCTTAAGTTATTGGCTGCCACGTATGTGCTATTCCGATGAAARCATGACTGAGTACGTGAGTAGTCTGCCCAGGAGGCTACATCGAGCAGTGTGAGTTCGGCAGTGTTGTTCGACTAAATTCTCATGTTTGTGTTCGTTGAGATTCTTTCCGACATTTTGCGAAGTGTGGGATATTKAGAAGACGATATCGTTATTTTTCTGCCATTCCTAAGCGGGTTTTTGAGTGCCAGGTATCTAATATTTTGAAAAAAGTTCCCTTCAACAATGTGTTTACGGTCGAAAAAGTGCCAGTGGTGTGCTATAGTATGCCGAGGCTCGCGGAAAACATATTTTCAATATGTCTAACCTTCCCAAGACGTGTTTTCCTTTCCTAAACAAAATAACAGGACTTGGATCCATAAAAGCTATTACTAGAATGACTTTTATTTTTTTAAATAAAAACTCCCGGGTATCTAGTATTTCGAAAATTGCTCCCGGGTGCCGGGTATCTAGACACTTCCAAAACTAAAATAGCAGTGGTATAATATTCTTAGCAGTTCTTGATTTGACAACTTTCAAATGAAGAACTGAAATTCATTTATAGCATTTTAGAACTAGAAACGTAGAAACTTCTCTCTGCATTCATCAATCCTCTTGTAACAACTTGATGTAGCTGATTTCATGTACACCAGAGTTTTAGTCACTGTTTTCATAGGGCGTCCCTATAGGTAGTAAAGACATTGTTGATAAACCCTCAGGACTTTCTTCGCAAAACTTTTGCTTACCCAAACACGGTCAACAATTTCATTGGTGGAAAAGCCGCTACGACTTAAAAAGATCACTCTCCATCTTAAGGATTCAGAAAATGATCTTCCCATCTTTGGAAATAAGTCTGAAAAGGTCTTTCTCTGATTTTTTGCTAGTAGTGTTTGTAACTGGATCATTTTGGAATTCCCGCCTTTAGAATGTAAGCTCTGTCTCGCTCTGGTCAATTTGCAATTGCGTAATCACTTTGATTGACAGAAGTCTAAACACGAGATGCCTTGAGTCCGTTTGGTCTCGTTATTTTTAAAATGGATACAAAATATCAAATTTCGTGCTCTAAAATGAAAACAAAAGTTCACGAAACTGATACTGATAACCGCCGACCGGTTAGCTCAGTAGGTAGAGCATCGGACTTTAGTGCGGGAGGTCGCAGGTTCAAACCCCGGCCGGACCAACACTCAGGGTCTTAAAATAATTGAGGAAAAGTTGTTGCCTTTGTCTTTCTCCATCTGCAAATGGTAAGATCTTCTCGTCCTCTCGGATAACGACGTAAAATCGGAGGTCCCGTCTCTCTACACTTCACTCACTAACCTGTATTAGAGGGACGTTAAAGAACCCACACCACTGTTCGCATAAGAGTAGGAATGATTCCCGGTGTGTGTGGCTAGGCCTTACTACTAACCCATACTAATTACTAACCCCTCATGATTGTAAGCCGCGTGKCTGCCAATTGCGCCTTAAACAGCGGTCCGTGTAAAATGCTCTATACATGTGAAGCGCCTTTGAACTCAGAGGATATCGGCGCTATATAAATTCCACATATTATTATTATTATATTATTATTATTATTATTATTATACATGACGGACCAACTGTCATGGTCCAATATGCATGTCCAATGTGTCATGCTCCAATATAGGTTAATATCAGACCTGAAATTGGCCAATCAAAGCGCGCGTTATCTAAGACATATAATAATTAGAGGATATTACATGGCCGCGCGAAGATACAGATTCTCTGAGTATTTCATATCTCCAAGTGACCATGTGATATTCTGATTATCATATAGTTATATATGAAAGCAAATTCTGACGCAAAATTCTTTTTTCACTTCCAATATGTAGAGAAACCTTAAATATGTTATTTTCTCGGATGATAATAACATATAACTTTTCGAAAAAGAAAAAAGAATATCTGTATTTCATAGACAATTATATACGCATTCGTCGATGTCTACACAGAGGAATTTGGTTATGAAATGATTTTTGTGTGTTTGTTACATAATTATTATCATATTAATCATTTGACTTACTAGTTGAGCAATTGCGTCCAGTGTATCCAGGGACACAGCTGCAAGTGTAGTTGTTGACC